TGCAGCACTACCGTTTCCCCATGCCCTGGCTCGGCACTGAGGGCTCTCTTAGCACAGGCCAGGCCCTTCAGGCTCTGGCCAGCCGTCCTCACGTCAGGTGGCTAACCCAAGCAGCCTCTGCTGCTCCCAAGGCTCGGGTCCATACGCTGCTCTACGCACCGTGGGACCTGGCCGCTTGCCGGGAGGTTGGGCTTGAGCCGCCTCACTGTAGCCCCAAGGCCTTTGCCCCGTGCACTGTGTGGCTTGCTGGCCCTGCCGGGGTTGCAGGCTCAAGCCGCCGCTTGTGGCTCCCAAAGCCTAAGCTCCGTGCACCGAACCACACACCGTGATGGGCCCGAACAGTCTCACATGACTCCCAGGGACAGGTCTCTGCACACTGTCCCTGTGCACCGTCAACAGCCTGAGCAGTCTCACACCGCTGCCAAAGCTGCTCTTCCTGTGGCAGCTTCAGGAGTCCTTGGCCTAGTGCCCGCTGGGGGAAAGCTCCCCAGCTTTTCTTGGCTCCACTCTTCTTGAGTCCCTGGCAGCATCTCCCCTCATGCTGGGCACGCAGCTCCTTTTATATGCTCTAGGCTCCGCCCCTCAAGTCTTCCAGACTTGACAGTTTGCAGTCTTCAATCAGGTCCAGGAGAGCTCTTCCCTGCCACGAAAGGAAAGGGGTGTGACTTTATTTCTCCTGCTGCCTCCTGATTGGTGGATGGGCTCCACCAATCAAAACAGCAGGATCTCAAACCTGGGACTCAACCCAAGCTCTGAAAAGTGAGCCTGCTACAGTGACAATATCCCCTCCCCGGTTTCTGTGTACTCCATCTCTCTGTACTCTTTTGGCCAGCTCCATGTCCTTTTCCCACATGTTTATGGTCTGCTCCATGATTTTGCTTTGACTCCTTTAGCTTGCTCCATAACCTCCTCCTAGGCTCCTTCTTCTTGGACTCTGCCATTCAACTCCAGGATGTCATCCATGGCTCATTCCGCCCATTCTGCTTCCTTCCTATCCCTCTCTTCTCCATCCATCTCTCCAGATCTTCCCAAATCTGACTCTTGCAGCCTTATTGCTTAACCCTGTGTACTCTCCATTCGAGTGAAGAACTGGTATGTTCCCAAAAGACTTTTTCACAACAATAGATGGGCAAAAGTACATAACACGAACCTTTTAGTGGGCTCCAAAAATTATTTATCCCCCAGGGGAGGGAGAAACAGCTGCACAGGACCCATTTGCAGCTCTCTAGTTCTTGAGCTGGTTTAATAACAGTCAATGTGCACTAGAAGTGACCAAAGTATATGCAAAATGATTACATCTGGCACAAAAATTGAACAGAGCCCGACATCTTTGGTTAGTTTTGTGCTTCTAAAATAGGCACATGCCTTGCGCTTTTACGTGTGTATTCCAGAAGATATGACTTCTGTTGATATGTGCCCAAGGAAAGTGAAGGTTTCGTACTTTGAAACTACATAGGCATGTTATTTCCACTAGAATTAGTTCCAGCTACTACAGCACCTTACCTATAGCCAAGCCACAGTGGTTTGGGATGAGGATCCGATGTTGTCTGGGCTCATTGAAGTTTGAGAGACTTTCTCAAAGTCAGAAAGTAGATTTTAAGGTTATTAATGGACTGAGATTGAGTATTTTATTCTGTCTCTTGGTCTGATTCTCCTCTTATGCTGTTTTTGCTGCCATGATTTGTTATCTTACCTTCTGTAAATCTTTAGGTGTTGCCTAGTCTTTGGAACTGATCTCATATCCAAAGAAGTCAGTGTCAAAATTCTCATTGGCCTCAATGGTGTAAAATGTTTGACACACACTGTTTTGCTTTCAAGGACTCATAATATATGCTTCTTGTTCACTCAGTGCTGGGTGGGACCCTCATTCATTCTTGATAATTAAACCAGAATGTGTGTGCTATACATTCATAATCAACCCATTTGGGGTATCTCTAATGCTTCTTTTTTCCCACAGTATCTCAGCTCTGGTGGTGCAACCTATTGACTAGACAAATCTGCCATTCAGGTGCATACGAAAATGTTTTACATTGCCAAACTGGAGCAGGAGATGATCAAACAAACAGTTGGGACTAGATAAAAAATATTTCTTGGTGGCAGGAAATCAAGGAGAAAATGTGTTGCAGCCAAACCTGGAATTATAAGAGGGCTTGGTCTGTTGCAGTCTGTCTGACTTTTATTTTATTTTTTTGTACTGTTATTTCTGCTCTCACACTCTTGTTCCAGTCCATGCTCCCACCCCAACACACACATGCAATGTGAGATCTTTTCATAAACAGGCAGCAGCCACCTGTCACAAAATGCTAAGCAAGATCAATGCTAAGCTTTGGTGACATGGCATAGTGTAAAAAAATTATCCTGAGTTGCACATGATGAATTGAGTACTACATCTATCTAGTTTCAGTGCTGTACACTTCTGTTCAGTAGACTCACATACTAGGAAGGCTGCTACTGTATAGTGCCTTTCCTTGCTCCAAAGGATCTTTCTTTTCTTCCTCCTTTTCTCTCAGCTCTTGAACACAATGGCTATTGAACAGAATAATTGGAGATGTTTGCCACCTCTAAACAAATTAACGTTGGGTGCCAGGGAGGGCACTGAATAGGGAATAGATCACTATAGAGATATCTGGCTCAGTGCACTCCCTGCATAGCATCCACTTCTGCCACTGTTGGACACAGGATACTTGGCTAGATGGACCATTGGTCTGATTTAATATGGCACTTACGTTTTTATGTTCTTATGCAATTGCCATGACGGCACATCAAAACAGATCTTCCTGCTGCACCTCCCTTGAGCTATCATGACTCTTGGTAACAAAACTAGAATTAATCTCTTATAGCGTTCTGCTGGAGGAGGGCAGATTTGAATCCCATCAGATGTTCCGGTGGGTGCTTTGTGAATAAATGCATCTTGCAACCAACCTCCTCAAGCCAGCACACTTCATTCTTGGGCCTAGTTTAGCAGTAAAAAGATTGCAATTTTTGTTTCTATTGCTGCCATTTCTTTCCCAGTAGATTGTTTCCATACTGCAGGCCTCTGCTAGGGTGTGCGCCCAACAAACAGATGACACGGGATAAATGGTAGAATCAGCTAACCCGCACTTTCATAATTGATATTTGCTATAATGAGACTTACCTAAGATATGTATTTTTTTTCATACTCTGGAACTGGCTATTTTTTTTTTACTACAGAAGAATAATCCTACTTATTTTTTCTTTTGATCTTTATGCAGTGCAGGTGTAGATTTTTTTTTCATGTGCACAACTAGTTCCAGATATGTTCACTTTTTATTTATCATATTGCAAGGCAAGCTTTTACTTTGGCAGTTACTAATCAGGTGTCCCATAACATGGTGTTGCTTTAAAAGACCTTGCTTAAAGGTACTGTATAGCTCAGAGAAGTAAGATTTAATATGGAGCTCTTAGCCTGGCATTAGTTCAAATCCAGTGCAAAAACTGACAGCCTTTACCGTGCGATGACGACAACACAATCTAGGGATCATTGTTTCAGTGGGGCCTATACACCTCATCAAAATCAAGATCAGACAAGCTGCTCCTACCCAATTCTCTTGTCCAGTTCAGTCAAGTCTACACACATCTGATTGTCTAATCTCACAGGCCCAATCTTTGGGTCCTAGAATAAGGTAACTCCATTCATTTCCATACTGTTCCTTAACAAGGCTGCTAATATTGGAGTGATTAAACCACAAGCAATGCTCAACCTAACACAAAGTACATACCCTGCACGGTGTCCTCCATGCTGCTAGATTTGTGCTTTCCAAGACAATGTAATGAGATCCAAGGACTGGAAACAAAAGCGGAACAAAATCAGAGTCGAAATGCAGAGTAGGGAGCTATTTATATTTAGGGGCGGCAGGGGCAAATCTAGGCGTGTGATGAATCCTGTTACCCAAAGGTTGTAAATCAAAGCGGGGTCTCTCTGGTTTACCTAGAAGTTACCGGGATGTGGGCGTTACGTTGGTGCAATTCTGTGGTTTGTGCGAGGTGGGAGGTCAGACAATGTATTTGTAAGTGTGCGTGTGTGTGCGCGTGCAAGGGAGGGGGAGAGAAATGGTCTTTTCTCCCCCCGTGGGAAAGATGTGCCTATTGAAACGTGCTGCTTTTCAGTAAAATAAATGAATAAAAAAAAATCCTTGTTGCCTTTTCTTCTGCTGTCCAAGGAGCATAATGGAAAAGCAAAGGGAGAGAGGGGAAAATAGAGCAGGGAAAAGAAATAGTGTTTTCAAACCTGGAATGTTTTATCCTCATTTTTATGATGTTGGTTTCTTGTTTGTGTTTGGGGGCGGTGTTTTTCGAACACTTGAAAAAGGAGGAAATGTCAGGATTGCAGCGGGAAGAACCGCCACCTCCTCCCTTTCTCGTGAAACCCTCGCTTCCTTTGTCCCAGGTGGCTTGGACTCAACCAAAGCTCATCCCCCATGCGATGTGGTGAGAGGCGGCACCCCTGGGTGCCCCGCGCGGGGCTTTAGCCCATCGGGGTGAGAACTCAGCCCCAGGGACGCAGCCAGGGGAGCATCCTTACCTGTGGGGGGGCATCCCCCTGGTGGTGGGGCGGTTGCCATGGTGCTCTAGGGTGGTTGCTAGGATGCTCTGCTTTCGCGGTTGCTATGGCAATGGGGCGTTCCCGGGGCAGGGTGGCTCCCCTAGTGACGGGGTTGCCATGGCGACGCGCCGCCCGAGGAAGCTCCGCGGTGCTGCCGCCAGGGGCCGCCCGCGCCC